GTCTGCGGCGGGCAGAAAGGCCACTTTTGCCTTGACACAAAAACTCCTGAACTTTGCCCAATAAGGTTCGTATGTGTTGATTGTTGAGAGGGACCGTGTTTGGGTGTCATTAAAAGTAGCTGTTGATGCAGCTTCGGAATCATATCTGTCATCATCAAGAAACAATCAGCAGTACATTAATGATGGAAGTTGAGTTGCAGTGCAAGGATTCTACTAACAGGGAGACCATATCCTAGAAAAGCGCTAGTATGTGAACCAACATGCAGACACTGGCTACCGGTAGCAAGATGAAGACATGATGATATGCCGGATGCCCAGGTTCTAGGGGAAGGCCGGACCAGGGGCCACCATGATGCTCCTGTCCATTCAGGAATGACTAGTGTCAGTGTGGCAGACGTGCGCGCAGCGTGGCGTAGGCGTGCGCGCAGTGTGGCGCAGGGTGGCGGAGACCAGGTGTGGAGGAGGGAATGCAAAACCGTGTTCTGTCCCCCAGTCCTGGGAGAAGGCATTGACGGTCGTTGCGCGTGGATGGGGAACCCTTGAAAAGAAGCGCGAGAGCTGCGCGTTATTGGCGTTTGCGAAAAGGTCGATGGTATGTGGTCCCCAGCGCCTCTCCAGCAACCGGAACCAGGGGAGTTTCAACGAATAGTCGTCGTTGCCTTCTAACTTTGAGAGTGCGTCCGCATCCGCGTTGAGAGCTCGGGAATCCATTCGATTGCCAACCGGATTTCATTTGCCCTGCAGTGTGTGATGATGGACTTGCACGGAAGGGTGAGCTCGGGTTGCCTGGAACCGCCTTTTCGAAGAATAAAGAATACGCCCTGGTTATCGACGCGCATGAGCACATGGCGGCCTTGAATTTGACTTGAGAATGCACTCAGGGCCCAGAGCACACCTTCAAGCTCCCGTCATGTGCTCGAAGTGGAGAGGAGCTCGTGTGGCATAGGGCTGCTGCCTTGCAGGTTTTCACTTGGGAAGGAAGCTAGGGTCGCACCCCAACTGTGAGCACTTGCGTCGACATGAATCACCGTGTCGATGCTGTGGGGCATGTGAAACGGCGCCCCGTTAAAACGATCAAAGTTCTCTAGCCAGAATTTGAGCTCGTCACGAGCCTCCAGGGTTAGGTGTGTCTTGGCATTCCATGACGGTGCTGCATTGATGAGCTCTATGAGTTGGTGACTGAATGCGCGTGCCGTTGTGCCAAGGGCGAGCGCCATGGAAGCGAGAATGCCGGTAACCCGTGCGACAAGGCGGATTGGTATCCGTTGTCGACGCTCATACGCGGAGATAAGCACCTGGAGCGTGTGCATGAGTTGTGCCCGACGTTCGGAGCCGATGGCGAATCTCCCAGATTGGGTGTCCAACTCCATCCCAAGAAATTGCAGTTTCTGGGTCGAGTTGAGGTGCGATTTTTTTGCATTGATGACAAGGCCCAACTGTCATAGGTCGCGAATGATTGCATCACGAGATGCGCGTGCGTCCTCCTCCAAACTACAGAGGAATCAGATGTCGTCCATATATGGAATGACTCGGGTACCTTGCGCTCGCCATCTTCGAGCCAGTTGTTTGATCAACTGAGTGAAAAGGAAGGTTGCTGTTGCGAGAACGAACGGTAACGACTTGGAGTAGTAATTCGTGCCGTCGAAATGAAAACCGAGGAACTTCTAGCATGACGGGTGAATATCGACATGATGGTATCCAGACTTAAGGTCGATTGAGAACATCCAGTCTCCCGGTTGCGCCAATTCGGCGACTCGAACCAAGCCTTCGTACTTGAATTTCGGGATGACGAGGTACTTGACTTTCCTCAAGTCCAGGATGAGGCGACACTTGTCGCGTTGCTGCATGACGTTGAGTGGACTAGTGCATGCCACGGCGGTTGGGCCGGCTGCAACTGCTGCTGCACCAGATGAGAGCAGGTCAGAGATTGCTGAACGTGTGAACTCGTTGTGTCGCTCGACACCGGCGTGATTCTTGTCGCGAAATGACTGTGGTGGCAATGCTTTCCAAGGGAGCTGGTATCCATTGGAAACAATCGACAGGATGAGACTGCTCTCGCACCATGAGGCCCACCAAGCGAAGGCTTGGCGCAGTCGACCCCCCATGGTGGTGACTTCATTGTCAGTGATCGCATGCTCCATGGGTTTACTCCATTCACCCGATCGTGAAGGGTATGCGCCTGCAGTGGCGGTAAGTTTGGGGCAACAGGATTGGCGCGTCAGTCCTTTGGTTTGAGCCACAAGATACTCATTGTGAACGAGAAAAGAAAGATGGAAGAACCGTTCTAGTTGGCATCGTGGGACGACTTGAGTATGCTCGATACCCAACCGACTTCCTATACGCTTGTGCAAGTCCACAAGGTTGCAAATGAAAGGGTGGGCGTGAGAGAATGACATGCTTGCAGGCCCATGCGAGTCGTGATGCGCATGATAATGCTTGACCAAAAACCTTCTCCCTATTGCTAGGCTTGGTGTCTCGCCCTCGTTCGTGTTTGCTCCCTTCTCTCTCTCCCTCGTTTTTTTTTTTTTTTTTTTTTTTTTTTTTTTTTAAACGACCACGAGAGGCTATACGGACGATGTCACATCTTGCCCTCTCTTCTCTCTTTCTCGCTTTCTCCCTCTCTCTCTTTCGGAACTCTCCACGTTAGGATGCCTTTGGTCCTTGTTCCCTCACTCGAGGCGTGACTAAAACGACCTTCGCACCATTGGTGCTTTGTCTTTGGGTGATCGAAGTGTGGTCAAGTCCCTTGCCTCTCCTCTCTCTCTCTCTCTCTCTCTCTCTCTCTCTAATGGTCCTTGTATTGATATAGCAGCAAAGTACAAACATGCAAATCATAGAGGCGAAGGTAACAACCAAACAAGGCACAAGAGTCACAAAACCTCTCTACAACTCCACAAAAGGCTCAATGACTGCAAAGCAGTCCCGAAGGTGTAACTCGTCCCCGATTCCCCCCACAGGCGGGTTCTCTACTGCCGCTGCCTCCCCTAGTTTGAGCAGGAGACCCACAGATTGGGCCCTTTGAAGGGCCACTGACCAGCGTTGCCTGAACTGGTGCAGGAACTTAGCAGCATAGAAAGATTTGGAGTCGACGTTGAAGTGGCGCCTAGCTGCAGTGTCCGCCAAGAGTTTAAGAAAGACTGGCACCTCAGCACAGGGGCAGCCGTAAGTATCTACCGCCAGAGGGAAGAAATTCACCGTCTTTGGCCGGGCAGCGTAATGTTTTATCTTCTTGTCAGCCTGCTCCCTTGCCGCCCAGCACCTGCCCTTTAGTGCCTCCGGGTCTCGAGTACTAATGGGGTCTGTAATTGTGACGTCGCACACGTAGACAGCACCGCTGCTTCTGTCGGTCATAGTGAAATCGGCGGTCTGTTCCTCAATGGGGCAGTAAGCCGTTGTCTCGATGTGAACGATGAACCCCGCGTCCAGGGCCATGCTAATACAAGCGTCCCGCAGCTCGTTGTGGGTGTTGATGCGGTGCTTGCCCGTGCCGCAGCGGAGAAGGTGGTTAGGGAGGCGGGGGTCCGTGATAGCCGTATGATCTGAGCAGTCGCAGTTTTTTGGCGTGGAGAAAGGGAGGGCCAGCCGGAAGCGCACAGCGTTGGAAAAGTGAATGGGCCCTATCCTCCTGTTTGCCGCAATGGGGATAGTCGTCAGCCAATCCCCAGTCCCGTAACCCGTCAGTGAGTATATCCACTGCATGTGGCCGCACAAAGGGTTCGGGGTCATCCGCCGTGTCTCCTGAACCTGCACGGCATATCTGCTCCCATGGACCTGTAATGCCAGAGCGTGTTGGAGTCTAATGTCTGACCGCTCCAGTCGCTCTTTCTCCAAGATTTCCCGAGCGTCAAGGGGTAATGCCGCCTCGCACTCAGCAAGCCACGCATGAAGAGGCGTGGTGACATCAGCAGGCAGCAACATGTGGTCCCGGGCCTGCGTCAGCGTGCCACGCGGGGCACACTCTAGTGATGCCAGAAAAAGCGCGGCCTGTGTGAAGCTTGCCGTGTAACCGTACACTCCTTTGATTAGGGGGTCTGTGATGCCTATTCCCCCCAGCGACGGCGGTAGTGAAGCCTGCGCCCAAACGCGAGCTTGCTCAGAGCGGCAGGTTGGAACGCGGATGCCGCATGCAGTCAGAAGCGTCGTAAGCAAGTCCATCCCCCACTGACTCCAGGTATCGCGAGGCAGTAGGTGGAGCGGTGTTGTCTTGGTGAGGTATGCCACTCATCTCGAGATACAACGGGTGAGCAGCAATGAAGCAACCTGGGGGTCGGCTTTCTCCAGGAGAGGTAGCGGCTTTGCCATTTCTTGCAGCTGACCCAACAGGAACTCCGCCGCCCCGCGCTCTGGGCCCACGAAACTCCCCAGTAGCCGCATGCCGTCCTGGGAAAAGGGCACTCCTGGCGGAAGCTGATCTTTCACTGCTGCGGCTCTGCTCTACGCTGCGCATTTTCGTGGGTTGTGAGTCAGCCCCAGTTGTGCCAGACCAGCGGTAAAATGGTTGAATGCGGCTACAGTGTCGGCCACATTCCGAAGGAACGTGATATCGTCCGCGTATGCCAGACAAAGCACGTCGGGATGCGTGTCTGCAGTGTCGCGGAGTGTGGCATGTACGCCGGCCGCAAACAGTAAAGGGCCGAGTGGGTCTCCTTGGCGGACTCCGCGTTCACTTCGCAGAGGTTTGGAGTTGAAATTGTTATCAAGAAGTAGCTGCGACGGGTTACCGTAAGTTAATTTCACGAACAGCAGTAGTGGCGAGAGGGCGGGGGCCTGTAACGCGGTGGCGATGGCTTTTCGCGAGATGTTGTTGAACGCGTTCGAAATGTCTGCTTGCAAGGCCAAGCTGGAGGGGCGTGCGTCCAGGTAGGCTTGGGCCGCGTGGATTACAGTCTCGGCTCCACCTGGCACGGCCACGCCGTATTGTAGTGGCAGAAAGAATTCGCGGGTGGCCTCTCCCATTGCTGACAGGGCCGCCTTGGCTGTCAGGAGGTTTGGCCAAAGCAATGAGGCGTGACGCTGTTAGGAGGTTTGCCATCGAGTCTGGCAAATTCCCTCCCAGAATGGTGTTGGTCAAGGCGTGCAGGTGGGTGCGGACCAGTGCATTGGTGATCGCCGCGTCGCGCAGATGTTCAAATGTCATCCCCGACGGCCCGGCCCCAACTCCATTTTCGCATCTGCCCAACATTTTGGCGAAGTCTGCGAGGGGGATTGAAAGTGTTGACCCCTGTGGCGTGGGCCATGTCACCTCCTCGTGTTCAGCGGGTGGGTGCTTCAGGCGCAGTTCCTCCAGGATTTCGGGGCTGGGAGTGCAGACAGGCGTTGACTCCAGGGCAAGCACGGCCCGTCGCAGGCTGCCACGTTTCGCCAGACCCTCGGCTCGGTTTGGCACACCAGTAGCGTCGGGCTGGTGTCGTGGTGGCGGTGGCGTGTTGACTGCGTCCACCGCGTCCAAATACAGCTGCTCCCATTCGCCACGCTGAAAGGCTCGGAGCCGAGCCTTGATCTTCGGCCAATTCGGTCGTTGTGGCGAGGTTTGGCGAAGTGTTAATCGCGGGAGAAACAACAGCAGGCGCCATCCTGTCTCAGACTCGGGGTTTCGTGAGAGGTGCAGTAACGGCGTCAGTAACGCCAGCGAGAACAGCTGACACAGATTAGGCGGTAAGCGCCGCGACAGCGAAGGCTGACGACTGTCGCACAGTGCTGTGATGTCCCAATTTCCGATGGGAGCGAACAGATCTGTTCGCTTCGCCATTTCGTCAGGCGAAAAATAGCGGGGTGTCGAGGCGGCTGAGCGTGTCGCAGAATCTATAGTTGCGGTCCCATTTCGCCGAACACGGCCCGATTGCGCAGGGGAGGCAGTGGTTGGAACTCCCTGGGGCGTTTGCACGCCTGTTTGCTCCCCCGCTGCATCCCTTCTCCCCGATCTCTCCCTTGCCCCGCCTTCCTCCTCCTCTGCCTCATCGTTCTCGCTCTCGGCCACGGTTTCCTCCCTATAAGAGGGGTCAGCTAACTCGTCGTCCTCATTAGTTGCTTCTAAGTTGGTTAAAGCCACGCGTGCCGCCGCCTGGTATCTGTTCTCTGGGCCTCTGCCAGTCCCGCTTTCTGTTCGCCTTCCTGCCCCGCGACTTCCCTGCGCCTGAGATGGTGATTGCCGGAGCTCCTGAGCCGTCGCCAGAGGTCGTTGCCGCTTGGTCGGCAGCCGTCTCCAAGCCTCCGTCGGTCCCCGAAAGGGCGACCTTGGCGACGAAGCCCCCTCTACCCCTCCAAAACCCGTGACAGCAGTCGCTGCAAAGACTCCTCCCCACGCACCCGCGGATCCCCTTGCCGCGTCGGAGGCTGATCCATCTGTCCCCGCTGCTATTCCGTCAGCTCCGCCTGCGGCTCCTGGCCCCTCGGCTCCCCTTGTCGAGCTGTCGGCGTTTGCCCCTGTTGGGGGTGTTGCTGACCCCCCTGCGCCTGTCCTTGGCGCCCCTGTTGCACCATCCGCTTCTGTCCCCGACGTGCCTGCTCCGGCCTCTACTTCGTCACCGAAGGAGGCGTCCGCCACCACTGGCGGACCGGCTCCGTTGGTTGCGCCCTCGGCAGTGGGTCAGTCCGCACTTGATGTGACGCCGATGGCCCCGGCGGGTCAACCGTCACGCCCGCCGTCACCTGACCGTCGCTTGTCGCGCCCACATTCCCCCGCTCCCCTACAGGAGCGCAAGTCGTCTCGTCGCCGGCGTGAGTCTCCGCGGCGTTATCAGCAACAGTCGCACTGGCCTGCTCACCCCGGAGGTCAGGGGGATTGGAGGGGTTCCTGTGCTCGTGGCGGGGGTGGTGGATACCGCCCGCCCGTGACGATGGTGGATCTTCAGTGGGAAGTGTCGAGGGTGGTTCGTGAGGAGAGGGCGGAGCAGAGCCAGAGCAGTTCGATGCGCGCCTCGCCAGCCCACGAGGCCCCTCGTCCAGCTGCGCTCCCCGCGAACCCGCAGACTGTCGCTGCGCCTCCCCCTCAGATCCATGTGCCGCCAGCTCCTTCTCCCGCTGTCTCGGCACCTGCTCCCGGCTCTCGTCTCCATCTGCTGCCGGTTCCGCCCGATGCGGGAGTGGAGTTTGTGGACGCGGGTGGTGGCGCGGCGGCAGCTCCGTATGCTCTCCAAGTTGAAGCTGATGAGCCGCTCTAGTTCCTGGCGGAGGCACTCCAGCCTCCGCAGACCCGTGTTCCCGAGGCGACTCTCGGCCAGCTCCACCGCCTCGCGGAGAGTCTCCACGCGCTGCTGCTGATTCAGGTCCTTGCTCACTCCTCTCTCCCCGTGATCCCTCCTGAGACCTTCCGTGGCCGCCAGCGTGACACTTGTCTGGACGCAGCGGACCAGCTCGCAGTGCTGCTGGCGCCCGTGCTGGCTGCGCCCGCGGAGGGTGGCGCTGCTGCTGCGGGACAGCTTGACGAGGCTGTCCGGGGCTTGAGGTGGCACTTGCGCGCAGGATCTGGAGCCGCGGCGATCGGCACAAGCACGCTTGTGGTCCGGGAGCTGTGGCGCTCCCTGACGGGCGTTCTTCACGCCCTTGGAGCTCACCGCATGTAGACGCGGGCTCCGTTTGCCCCATTAGTGATTCGCGCGGCTAGGCTGCGGTCGCATTTGCCATGCGTGTATTGCCGTTGAATATAGACAACTATATGTGCCGTTACTTGCCGTTCCCTCACACGCGGCCGAAGGCCGCGCCATCGAGCGCCGGTCGCCCCGAATGAATAATGAGCCAAGGAAGCTATAACAGCCACTTTAAGTAGCTAGGAACCCAAGGGCAGAGGCTAAAGGCAGAGTGCAGAGGCTAGCCCCTCTCTCTCTCTCTCTCTCTCTCTCTCTCTCTCTCTCTCTCTCTCTCTCTCTCTCTCAAATGGTCCTTGTATTGATATAACCGCGGAATACAATCATGCAAGTCATAGAAGCAAAGGTAACAGCAACAAATCCTACCACTCTATAGTTCTAGGAAGGGCTCGACCACCGCAAAACAGTCCCCTAGGTTCAATTCCTGCCCAATAACGCCTACCGGCGGGTTCTCTGCCGCCGCCGCCTCCCCCAGCTTGAGTAGCAGGCCTACAGATTGGGCTCGCTGCAGGGTCACCGACCATCTCTGTCTGAACTGGTGCAGAAACTTAGCAACATGAAAGGATTTAGAGTCGGCGTTGAAGTGGCGCCGAGCCGCAGTGTCTGCTAAGAGTTTCAGGAAGGCCGGTACTTCGGCGCATGGACAGCCATAGGTTTCCATGGCCAGAGGGAAGAAGCCAACTGTCTCTGGCCGTCTCACGTAATGCTTTATATTTTTGTCAGCCTGCTCCCGAGCCGCCCATCCCCTCCCTTTCAGTGCCTCTGGGTCTCTAGTGCTGATGGGGTCAGTGATGGTGACGTCACACACATAGACCGCTCCGCTGCTCCTATCAGTCATAGTGAAATCGGCCGTCTGTTCCTCGATGGGGCAGTAGGCGGCTGACTCGCTGTGCACGATAAACCTTGCGTCCTGCGCCATGCTAATGCAAGCATCCCGCAGCTCGTTGTGAGTGTTGATGCGGTGCTTTCCCGTGCCGCAGCGGAGGAGGTGGTTCGGGAGGCGGGGGTCAGTGATTTCCGTGTGGTTAGAGCAGTCGCACTTCTTTGGCGTTGAAAACGGGAGGCCAAGCCGAAAGCGCACAGCATTGGCGAAGTGCACGGGTCCTACACGTCTGTTTGGGGCAATGGGGATAGCGGTCAGCCAGTCGCCGGTTCCGTATCCTGTCAGCGAGAACATACGCTGCGTATGGCCTGAGAGGGGGTTTGGCTTCATTTTCCTCGTGCCCTGGACTTGTACGTCGTATCTGCTGCCATGGACCTTCAGACCGAGCACGTGCTGGAGCCTTATGTCCAAAGGTGACAGCCGCTCTTTCTCCAGAATCTCCCTCGCGTCTCCTGGCAACGCCGCTTTGCACTCGGTAAGCCATGTGTGCAGTGGCGTTGTGTCATCCCGTGGCAAGAGCATGTGGTTCCTTGCCTGGGTCAATGCGTTTTCCGGGTCTAGCTTGAGGGAGGAGAGGAAGAGCGCAGCCTGGAAAAAACTAGCCGTGAAGCCGTATACTCCTTCTACTAAGGGGTCTGTGATACCGATGCCACCCAGTGACGGTGGCAGGGAAGCCTGCGCCCAGACACGTGCTTGTTCAGCTCTGCTCGTTGGGACGCGGATATCGCACGATACCAGTAGTGCAGTAAGCAGGTCCTGTCCCCACTGGCTCCAGCTGTCTCGGGGGAGTAGGTGGAGTGGCGTCGTTCTGATGAGGTAGGCCATGCGCCTGGAGATGCAGCGCGTGAATAACAGCAAGGCTACCTGGGGGTCAGCTTGTTCCAGGAGGGGCAGTGGCTTCGCCATCTCTTCTAGCTGTCCAGATAAAAATTTTGCCACCCCAGAGTCGAGGCCTAGGTAGCTGCCCAGGAGTCGCACTCCGTCTGTTGAATACGGCACTCCTGGCAGAAGATGCGTCTGGTCAACCGTGCATGAGCTCCATGCCGCGCACTTCTGTGGGCTGTGCTTCAGTCCCAAGCGTGCCAGTTTGTCAGTGAAGAACGTAAAAGCTGCTACTGTTCGAGGCGTTTCCCCCAGGAAAGTGACGTCATCCGCGTAGGCTAGGCAGAGTACGTCCGGATGGGCCGCAGCTGTTTCTCGGAGTGTGGGGTGTATTCCAGCTGCGAACAAAAGTGGTCCAAGTGGGTCGCCCTGGCGCACCCCGCGTTTGCTTTTTAAAGGTTCGCTGTTGAATTTAGCGTCCACGTGCAGCAGTGACGGGTTACCGTAGGTCAGTTTGACTAACGACAGTAGTGGTGAAAGGCAGGGGTCCTGTAACGACGTGGCGATGGCTTGTCGCGAAATACTGTTGAATGCGTTTGAAATGTCCGTTTGCAGTACCAGACTGTTGGGACGGGCATAAAAAAAAAGCACGGGCAGCGTGGATGACCGCCTCTGCTCCCCGCGGCACCGCCACACCGTATTGAAGTGGTAGAAAGTACTCGCGGGCAGATTCTCCCATGACTGTAATGGCAGCCTTGGCCACAAGCCTAGTCAGACATTCGCCTATTGCGATTGGTCGGGCGCCTCCTCCCGGTTTGGCCAGAGCGATGAGTCGCGACGCCGTCAGCAGGTCTGCCACCGCACCTGGTAAATTTCCCCCCAGCATTGTATTTACTAGGGCGTGCATATGGGTGCTGACCAGTGCGCTGGTTACGGCCGCGTCGCGCAGGTGCTCGAATGTCGTGCCTGGCGGCCCGGCCCCCACTCCGTTGTCGCATCTTCCCAACATTTTAGCAAATTCAGCGAGGGTGATGGTCGGCTTGGACCGACGTGGGTCAGGCCAGGTCGTCGTCGCGTGTGCAGCTGGCGGGTGTTTTTGGTGAAGTTCGTCCAGGATTTCTGGACTGGGTGTGCAGACTGGAGTTGACTCGAGCGCCAACACGGCACGTCGGAGGCTGCCGCGTTTTGCCAGGCCCTCGGCTCGGCTGATGACTCCTACAGCGTCGGCCTGGTGTTGGGGCGGTGGAGGGGTGTTGACTGCCTCGACTGCGTCTTGGTACAGTTGGTCCCATTCGCCACGCTGGAAGGCTCGGAGCCGAGCCTTGATCTGGGGCCAGTTCGAGTGTCGGGGTGAGGTTTGGCGAAGTGTAAGGCGCGGAAGAAAAAGCAGCAGGCGCCATCCAGCCTCGGATTCCGGGTTCCGCGACAGATGGAGTAAGGGTGTCAATAGTGCCAACGAGAACAGCTGGCATAGATTGGGCGGTAAACGCCGTGCCAGTGTAGGTTGCCGGGTTTCGCATAGTGCTGAAATATCCGAGTTCGCGATGTCAGCGAACAAGTCTGCTCGCTTCGCCAGTTCGTCGGCTGAAAAATAGCGGGGGTTTGGTGGGGTCAGGCGGGCCGCTGATAGTGTATTCGCGCTTCGATTTCGTCGTGCGCGGCTCGTCCCCGTGGTCGATGGATCGGTTGGATTTCCATCCGTTCGATCGGCATCCGACGGTCCCCGATCAGCTACATGACGATGCACAGACTCCTCTCTCATTCCCCTCGCTGTCTCCCTCATCCGGTCTTCTCCCTCCCCGTCGCCATCTTCGCTAGGTGGGAGAGTCTCTTCACTATATGTAGGGTCTGCATTTTCATCAGTCTCATTAGCTGTGTCTAGCGCACTTAAAGCCATACGTCCTGCTGCCTGGTACCCGTTCTCCGGTCCTCCGCCTGCCCCGCTAGCCGTCTGTCTCCTCGCCCCGTGGGCTCCTTGCTCTCGCGATGGTGATTGCTGGTGTTGACGAGCCGTCGCCAGAGCGCGCTGCCGCCTGGTCGGCTGTGGTCGCCAAGCCCCTGTCGGAACCCGAAAGGGCGACCACGGCGATGAAGCCCCCTCTCCCTCCTGCTCCGAAGCCCGCGTCAGCAGTCTCTGAAAAGACTCCTCCCCTCGCACACGAGGCTCCCGTTGCCGTGATTGCTCTTGTCCAGTCTGAGCATGTTGCTGCTCTCTCCCCTCCAGCTGTTGTTCCCGCTCCGCCGGCTGATGTTGTTGTACCGTCAGTACCTGCACCTGCTGGGGCCGTTGCTGATCCCCCGGTTCCCGTCCCTGGCGCGCCCGTGGCGCTGCCCGCTTCTGCCCCCGGCGAGCCTGCTCTGGCGCCTGCTTTGCCGCCAAAGGCGGCGTCCGCCACCACTGGCGTCCCGGCTCCGTCGGTTGCGCCTGCGGCGGCGGGTCAGTCCGCCCCCGCCGTGACGGCGGTGGCTCCTGCAGGCCAGCCGTCACGCTCTCCGTCGCCTGACCGTCGCTCGTCGCGCCCCCATTCCCCCGCTCCCCACCAGGACCGCAAGTCGTCTCGTCGCCGGCGTGAGTCTCCACGGCGGTACCAGCAAGAGTCGCACTGGGGGTCAAGGGGATTGGAGGGGTCCCCGCGCTCGTGGCGGGGGTGGGGGGTATCGCCCGCCCATGACGATGGCGGATCTTCAGCGGGAAGTGTCGAGGGCGGTTTGGGAGGAGAGGGCAGCACAGAGCCAGAGCAGTTCGCTGCGCACTTTGCCAGCCCACGAGGCTCCCCGTCCGGCTGCGCTCCCCCCGAACCCGCAGCCTGTTGCTGCGCCTCCCCCTCCGATCCAAGCGCCGCCAGCTCCTTCTCCCACTGTATCGGCGCCTGCTCCCGGCTCTCGTCTCCATCTACCGCCGGTTCCGCCTGTTGCGGGAGTGGAGTTTGTGGCTGCGGGTGGCGGCTCGATGGCGGCTCCGTTCGCTCTCCCAGCTGATGCTGACGGGCCGCTCTAGTTCCTGGCGGAGGCACTCCAGCCTCCGCAGACCCGTGTTCCCGAGGCGACTCTCGGACAGCTACACCGCCTCGCTGACAGTCTCCACGCTCTGCTGCTAATTCAGGTGCTGGCCCACTCGTCTCTCCCTCTGATCCCTCCTGAGTCCTTCCGTGGCCGCCAGCGGGACTCTTGCCTGGACGCGGCGGACCAGCTCGCGGTGCTGCTGGTGCCCGTGCTGGCTGCGCCCGTGGAGGGTGGCGCTGCTACTGCGGGACAGCTTGACGAGGCTGTCCGGGGCCTGAGGCGGCACTTGCGCGCAGGATCTGGAGCCGCGGCGATCGGCGCAAGCACGCTTGTGGTCCGGGAGCTGTGGCGCTCCCTGACGGGCGTTCTTCACGCCCTTGGAGCTCACCGCATGTAGATGCGGGCTCCGATTGCCCCATGTGTGATTTGCTTGTCTAGGTTGCCGTAGGAAACGCCATGCTTGTAATGCCTTTGTTTATGAGCAATTGTGTGTGTTGCCACTTGCTGTCCCCTCAAGCGCGGCCTTTGGCCGCGCTGTCAAGCGTCGGCCGCCGAAGGCGGCCGGCGCGAGCGAAAATTTCTGCACCCACCGAACAATGAGGTGAAGGGGCCCAGAGGGGCCTCTTATATAGCTCACAAATGAGAGGGCAGGGGGCTAAGGGGAGAGGGCAGAGGCTAGGATCCTCTCTCTCTCTCTCTCGCTCTCTCGAACGAGCGAAAATTTCTGCACCCACCGAACAATGAGGTGAAGGGGCCCAGAGGGGCCTCTTATATAGCTCACAAATGAGAGGGCAGGGGGTTAAGGGGAGAGGGCAGAGGCTAGGATCATCTCTCTCTCTCTCTCTCTCTCTCTCTCTCTCTCTCTCTCTCTCTCTCTCTCTCTCAAGCAGTCCTTCATTGATGTGCTTACAAGGTACAAGCAAAGCAACAGCAATCCTAGCAAGCATTATGGCCTAGGCACGCAAGTTCTACAATGACCGTAGTCACATACAATGCATTCGTTGGGCTTGTCTGCCTGCCATGCCAAGCTGCATAGTCACTGCACTAGTCCTCACAGCTGCATCACTTCCGGCCTGCCCAACCTCTGCAGGGCGCCTCAATCCCCACCCCCTTCTCCTGCCCAGCCGAGGAGGGCCTCCTGCGGTTGGGCGGGCCACTAGGGGTCGGCCCGGCCCTCTACTCACCGAAGTCGAGTAGCTGGGCCAGGTCATCCTCGAGGACCTGCCACAGGTCCCCGAGGCTTGGCTCCCATGGGTCCGCCGCTGCCTGTGGGTGCGCTGCCTCAAGTGCCCTGTTGGACTTGGCCATCAGGGCACTTGCTTGGCAGCGCTGGAGCATCACCGACCACCGCTGCCGGTAATGCGCCGTGATTCGGGAGGCTACATCAGTTAGCCTCCCCTGTCTGTGCTTCTTCTTAGCAGCCTGGGTGCCCAGGAGTCGGAAGAACCGTTGGGTGTCCCTAGCTAGGGCCCCGTAGGTTTCCACCGCCAGACCGAACACCCCTACAAAACCCGGGCGGCCCTCATACAGGCCCCGCTTCACTCTTACCGCGTCCTCTGCCGCCCACCCCGGTGCCTTTACCGCTCTCTTGTCACGCCGCTGCAGGACAGGGTCCGTGACCGTCACATCAGTGACATAGGTCTCGTTGGACTCCTTGTCGCAAATCACCAAGTCCGCTCGCTTTTGGTTGGTTATGGGCGAGAAGGCCGCTGACTCGTGCAAGGTCGTGTAGTCCGCTTCCTGAGCCATCCGGAGCGCTGCGTACACCAGGGCGTTGTGAGTGTTAGTCCTGTCCCCTCCATCGGCAGACCGCAACAGGTGGTTTGGCAGGCTTCTGTCCCCGATGTCTGACCGCTTCCCCTTGCAGGGGCACTTTTCCGTGACCGCCACGGGCAGACCTAGCCGGAAGCCGAGCGCCACTGCAAACTGTCCGGGGGAGAAAGTGAGGTCACCTCTTGTGGAGATAGCATGCAACCAATCTCCCGCCCCCACCCCTTGCAGGCTGATGAGCCGGATCGCGTGTCCATTGTCGGCTCCGGGCTTGTCCGCCCTTGTGTCTCCCATGAGCTCGGCCGCCCTATCTAGGTTTATGTGCTTTGAGAGGATCAGCTGCAGGTGCCCCTTTACCTCCCCCTTCTGGTGGTGCTCCTTCAGGACCTCCCGAGCCTGCTCTGGGAGCCGGTTCCGAAGGTCCCTGAGCGTCACCCCTCCTGCCGCTGCCCCCTGAATTCCTCCCATTGGTGACAACAGGTCTGTCACCTGCTGCAGTGGGTTGTCTGCCGTCATCGCCATGTGCCTGAGGAGAGTGTTGGCTGCGTGTAGGGAGGCCAGGTATGCTGCTGGTGCCTCAAAAAGCGGGTCTATCAGCCCCAAGCCCCCGAGGCACACCGGTAGCGTGGCCTGGCGCCAGACCAGGCTCTGCTCCAGTTCGCTCGTAGGAGCATGCATCTTTGCCGCTTGGAGTGCCGTCCACAGCAGTTCCTCACTCCAATCCCTCCATTCCACCAGTGGTAGTGTGTCAGCCGGGGTAGGCCGGAGCATGTAAGAGATGCGTCTCGACACACATCTCGAGAGGAGGAGGAGTGCGTGTTGTGGGTGCAGTTTGCCGATGAGGTTCAGTGGCGCCGCCACCGTGCTCAGGGTCGTTCGTATGGACCTCTTCCCGTACTCTCTAGTCCCCACCGGGCTCCCCAGCACCCGTATCCCGTCGACCGCCGCCACCAGTCCCTCAGGGAGAACTTCCGAGCAACCTGCCGGGCACCACGCTGACGACTTCTCCAAGTTCCATCGCAGTCCGCACTTGCGTAGCTCGATGAGGACGTTCACTCCCTTAATCGCCTCCGCCGGAGCACCGATGATTGTGATGTCGTCCGCGTACGCCATTACCACCGTGTTGGGGTACATCGCCGCTGCCCTCAATAGGGTTGGTTGTATGGCCGCTGCAAAGAGCATCGGCCCCAGTGGGTCTCCCTGGCGCACACCTCGAGCGCTCTCGATGTATCGTTCGTCGAAGCCCGAATCTAGTAGGAGGCGTACCGGTGAGCCATACAGCGTGCGAACCAGCGGTAGAAGCGGCTCAAGCGCTGTCCATTTGAGTGCTGTGAAGAAACTTCCACGTTCTACGGAGTTGAATGCGTTCTCGACATCCAGCTGTATTGCGATTTGAGTTGGGTCGTCCGTCAGCAGTGCTCGGGTGGCGTGTATCACTGTCTCTGCTCCTCCGGGCACCGCCACACCAAATTGGACTGGGAGGAAGAATTTCCGAATATCGGGCGAGAGTTTCCGCAGCGCCGCTTTCGTCGTTAGCCTAATTATCGCTTCACCGATTGCTATCGGTCTGACCCCTCCTCCTGGCTTCTCCAAAGCTATCAGCCTCGCTGGTAGGAGAAGATCCCTAAGGGACGCACTAAGGTAGGTACTCATCAGCGAGTTGATTACTTGGTGCAGGAGCAAGAAGACCTCCCCGTTCAGCAGCGCGGGGTCACGTAAGTGTTCAAAGCACGTTCCCGATGGCCCCGCCCCAATCCCATTCGGGCACTTAGCTAAGACTTCACGAAAGTCGTCAGCCGCTATCGTCAGGGACGATGTTTCGTATCCGGTAACCCATTCTGGCGTTCCCTCCCCGGCTATCGGATGTTTAGCGCGAAGTGCAACGAGTGTCGCTGGTGATTGCTCGGCGAGGGGGGTTGACTGTAACGCCGCTAAGGCTTTCGCCAGGTTCGCCTTCTGTACTAGGCCCTCTGCTCGGGCACACATGCCTTCCGGGTCTGGTTGGTGTCTGCTTGGTTGGGGGTTTGGGGGATTGATGCAGGCTTCCGAGAAGAGCACCTCCCGTTCTTCTTCTTGAAATTGCTGAAGTCGCTTCTCAACCACGGCCCAGCGGTTTCCCTGAACCTTCTCAATTTCGGCTCAGAGGGTCAACCTGGGTAGGAATTGCAGGATTCGCCACGCACCCGCGCAGCCTGGAACCTTCGCGAGTCGCTGCAGGGGGATCGTCATGCAGTAGGCGTAGACTCCCAGGATTTTGGGGGGAAGCTTTCGGAACAGAAAGGGTTGGGCACTGCAACACATTGGCCCCAGTTCCCACCCTTCCACCTGGCGCCAGACGTCTGAGTCATCGGCGATATCTGCTGGCGATCTTGCCTTGCTGGCCGTCTCACAGGGCTGGACGCCACGTGACTCGCCCTCATTGGCGTCAGCATGGTTTCCCTCACCCCTTGCCCCTCGGTTTGTCCCTCCCGCTGGGATACCTTGCTCATCCTCTAGTGACACGTCCTCCGAATCCCCCTGTTCCTCCTCCATATATTCCTCGTCCCCATCCTCTTCGCAGTCATTCATTGGATCTCCTCCCTGCTGTCGCTCCGGCCTCCCGTGCCTTTCCCGCCACGGTCCAGATCTGGTTTTCTCTCTAGCCACAGCTGCTGCAAGGCCTCTTCGCCCTGCCCTTCCGCGCGCACCTCGTCCGCCGCGTCCCCTCCCCGCCACCGGCGCTCGTCCGCGAGTTCCTGCTGGCGGGTTTCCCGCCGCCGCCTCCGCTACGCGTTCTCGCAGCAGCCTCTGCCGCGGTGTTCCCCCTGTCAATCACGGTCACTTGCTCCTCTTCTACGACCGCCGCCCTGTCTTCCGCCTCGGCCTCCACCCGTTCAGCTCTTTCGTGGGGCCGTCCCGCCTCGTACCCTGTACCTGATGACGGGCCGGTGCCGGCCGCCTCGGCGTGAAGTGATCGTGGCGGCGGGATCTCCTGCTGTGCCCACCCTACCAGCGGCCCAGGGCGGGCAGGTGCCAGCCCTGTTCCGAGCCGTCGCGGACTGCCTGACTGCGGGTGTTGGCGCCGCGCCTTCTGCGCCACCGAGCACGCCTGCTCGACCAAGGGAGCCCGTGTACCGCTCCCCTCACGGGCGCACTCATCCGTTTCTCCGTGCGCGCGGCCATTCTTTCTGTCGCCGTCGTCTCCCTCGCCCGCCACTGTCCGGCCAGGCTCGTCTTCGACCCCAGCTTCAAGCTCCTGCCACACAGTCCCAGCCGTTGCAACTCCCTCCGCCCCAGTCACAGTCCGCGACGTCTCGCTCGCGTGCGCCGGCTGCGCCAGCGCAGTCTGCGCCGCCAATCCTTCCGCCGCGGCCGCCCCCTCCAGCGCCGGAGTCGGCGTTGCCTACGCGGACGTGTCCTTCTGCCCCCGTCTCTCCTCCTCCTCAGCCCGATCCCGCACCTCCGTTTGGCGTACAGGCGCATCCCCCGTCGTCGGCACCAGGGCCAGGCGCGGCGCCGCCACCCCCTCAACCGTCTCCTCCGCCTCATGCGCCGCCCTTGTCGGGGCCAACTCCTGTTGCGCCGTTTGCGTATTCGTACGCACCTCGGCTGGATGTGGTGGCGTCTGCTCCTCGCGGGCTCCCTTTC